AAAAAAAAAAAAAAAAAAAAAAAAAAAAAACAAAAAAAAAAAAAAAAAAAAAAAAAAAAAAAAAAAAAAAAAAAAAAGGAGCCCACACACTATAATCATCTCAAGAACTATCTAAGAAATCGAAGTCTACCCACTTCCCTCGACGTCGTCCAAAGGCAAAAACTACAAAAGAAAAGCAAATTTTATACTTATTGAAACGGAATTCTCTACAAACAAGATCGAAGAAGGAAAGGTCACCTGTTGCACGTGATCCAAAAGCATGAATTAGAACCCATATTATTTTTGACCCATCAACATCCTCTGGGCGGGCATTTCAATAAAGACATAATGTTCAAAAAAATAAGGAATTTATACTTCTGGCCCCAGATATACCTCGACATCCGAAATTACGTCCAAAGGTGTGAACGATGCCAAGAAAGAGGAAAAAACATAATCGTCGGACCATACACCCGATTCCCGTGACCACACCTTTTCACCATATTGGTATCGATTTCGTCGGCCCACTCCCACGGACCCCAAGACTAAAACGATATATTTTGGTCGCCGTAGACTACATGACGAAATGGCCCGAGGCCATGGCCGTCGAAAAAGCCGATGCAATAACCGTTGCTGACTTTTTATACAGGAAATAGTGTATCGGCATGGTTGCCCTGAACGTATCATCTCGGATCGAGGTACCCACTTCAAGAACAACATGATTAAAGCATTTACGGAAAAATTTACCATCAATCATAGGCTTTCAATGCCCTACCACCCACAAACAAATGGGTTGGTAGAGCGTTTTAACTGAACACTGTGCAAAGCCATAGCTAAACTTGTTGAAAACGTACCCAACTGGGACTTACTAATTCTCTCTATCCTTTTTGCATATCGCACCGCTAAAAATTCTTCAACAAAAATGTCACCTTTTTACCTCGTATATGGCCGAGAGGCACGGCAACCTATATATCCCAATAATGATGAAGAGCTATTGGAAGGGACTATCCTCCAAAGAATCTACGAATTGATAGAATGGCTTCCTCAAGTTAGAAGTACAGCTTTGGAGAATATTCAACGAACTCAAGAACGACAAAAGCATTATAATGATACCCACCATAAACCAGCTCCAGAATTTGATATCGGAGAAAAGGTCTGGATGTACAATGCATCAAAAGAACAGTCTAGGAGTAGAAAGTTTGAACCAAAATGGTTGAGCCTGTACTATATCCACGACTGACTTCCAAATAACGTTTACAAGCTACAAACAATTATTGGCCAGGTGTTGGCAACCCCTATCAATGTTAAAATCTTAAAAAAATACTGAGAATAAAAAAAAAAAAAAAAAAAAAAATTTTCTAATACTGTACACAATTATCATTTTATCTTATTCAGTTCCTTTTCTGTGTCTGTTAAAAGAAAAAAAAATTAAGAAGGCGCCTGCTAGATGCGTAATAAAGAAAAACCGAAAGATAAAGAGCAAAAAGAACCTAAAAGACCTCGCTAACTTCCCCTTTATACTAAGGAAGCCACGATCAATGAGCTAATCGTTAATAAGATAACCGCCGCTCTAATAATATTGTGAACTGCAAAAATGTACCTGGTAACATGTGCGAGATGATGATCAAAGCGGCGCAGTATCAAATTAATGGATGGGTTGATCTTTTGCTTAAAATAGATATCCCGGTAGTATACCTGGTATACCTGGTATATCTGGTATGCCCGGTAAATATAATATCAGCGGAATAACGAATATTAATGATATCGATGATTTATATAATATATAATACATCCCTGGCAAAATAGATATAATAAAGATAATATGTATAATTGGCCCTAAGTAGTGAAATGTATATAATAAAGGCTCCTCGCCCTTGGAGGAAAAAAGATCCCTCCATGATTCACAAAAAAATTCGTTCCTAATAATTTCATACCTTGTATACTCGTTAAATAAAATACTTACATCCGGATCTATTACTTAAGTGGTATAAGTAATACAATCACTGTCTCTTGTTCACGTGATAAACATAAATTGTACCAAAACTCTGTCCGGTTGTTTCTCGATGTACTGAGAGCCTCCGTGGTTGATATTTTCCAACTGTCTCGACGGACCGAAGATAGTTGTGGTTGTTTTTCAGTTTCCTGACGGACTATGGATTCTGTGGTTTATTAATTCTAGTTGTGGGTTATTGTGAAGAACTCGAACTGTAGTTTTGTTAGATTGATAGTAGATTGAAAGCTTAAGCGTTAGTGAATTGTATTAAGTCCCTGATATAGTAAAGAAGACATACCTACGATTAAAATCACCACTCGCCAAATCTAAACGCCTCTATTCGACTAAGCTAATCGTAGGTTACACAATGTCTCAGATCGATTAGCGACAGACTCGCCGTTTTACAGTTGTCATTTTGGTGGTGACTGTGAGATTCGACACGTCGACTAACCCCCCCCTCGATTTTGAAATTTTAGCAAATTGGAATAAGTAATTAAAGTCCCAATAAATAGCATTAATAATAATAATATACCCCCTATTAAACCAGAGAGAATGAATAAAGATCAGTTAAAAGAATTACTGGAAGGGTTAACCACTTCATTTGCCCAAGTTGCTAATACCATCGCAAATTCAAAGAAGGACCCCGAAGAAAGAAGAGAGTTGACCCATGTAAAGATCGACCCATTTTGTGGAAATGATAAAGACGACCCGATCAAATGGTTGGAAGCGTTCGAGAGGGCTTCCATAGCCAACAATTGGTCTAAGAAAAGAATGTTGAAGATCGCATCCGGATACCTTCAAGGCTTAGCCGCTAAATGGTATAAAGGAAAGAAAGATCAACTAAAAGAATGGAAGAATGAAGATAACGAAGAAGAAAGTTTCTATCAATCGTTTGTCGAATTTTTCACTACACCAGAAAAACGCCACCGATGGCAAATCGAGTTGAATAACCTCCAACAACGAAAAGATGAAAAAGTCGATGCATATGCGGCAAAGTTTAAGCATCTAATGGCAAGAGTCGACCCCGAAAGAGAATTGCCCGATGCATACGTCATCCGGATGTTCCTAAGTGAACTTCGTAGTAAAACCCCGACTTTCGTGGCCGTTTCCGAACCCGATACCTTAGAAGAAGCCATCGTTAGCACTCGAAGAGTCGAAGCGGGTGAATACTATAGCAAACAAACCCAGGAAAAAGGACATCAGAGAAGGCTGGAAGAAGAATTGGGCAATCTGACCCAAAAGATAGAACAGATTGCTCTGAACTATGCCTCCCTCATAGAGAACCGACCCAAAGAATCCCGAGGAGAAAATAAGTGGAAAAGTGAAGGAAGTTCAGAAAAACGCTGTGAACCGAAGAAGGGGGTTATGTGTTATAATTGTGGCGAAGTTGGTTATATATCCCGAAATTGCCTGTCAGAAAAAGCGGCAAAAAAAGAGAATGAAGAGAAAAAGGTTAACAATTACGTGGAGGTAACCACGTCTTACATCGATAACGATAGTTGGGAAGATGAGGTCTATACCTTAGGGGAGAATAGGTACCAACCCTACGAAGGGAATAGCAAAAAGGTGGCTCAAGCCCAACCAGAGACCCGGTGGGAGAATTGGTTAAGAACTCGGGAAAACGTTGTGCCCCAAACATTAGTAAACGGGTTTGGGTCAAAATCCCGAACAACAAATTATCGAAAAAACATAACACCGATCAAATTGGCCAGCATTATAGCTAGTGCCGGCTAACTTTGTCGGTATTATGTTCTTTCGGGAATCCGTTTTTCGGGATTTTGACCCAAATTCCTAGTAAACTTAGAAGCCCCCGACGTAATGGTTGAAGATGAAGTTGTACTCGTGAAGAAACAGCAAAGAAAATGAGACCCATCAGAGATCGATAAGCTGGCCACTTACAACGTGGCAGAAGATATCATGAATTTACCTGCAAACATAACAATAGGTCAAATGCTTCAGTACCCCAATCAGAGGAGGAACTTGGCTATGGCCCTACGAAGACCTCTCCCAACAATACAAGAAGCTAGCCACGTGAAATTCGAAAACGACCAAAGAACTACGGTAGCTCGATGTTATGTTAGAATTCGGGGCAACCCGGTTGTTGCAGTATTAGACTCCGGGGCCGCTGTAAGTATCATGACCAAGAAGCTTGTGGATAAGTTGGGACTTCGGATCCAGGAAAAATCCTCGACCATTGTTGTAACCACCACCGGCGCAAAGACCAGGCACTGGGAAAAATCAATGATGTGAAAATAATCCTCCAAGATGCGGTTATCCCAAGCACCCTCCAAGTAATCGAATCGTCGGATGAAACCCTTCTTTTGGGAACTGACTGGTTCCAGAAAGCTTAAGCCAGGATCCATTTCAATGAGCAACGGTTAATTCTAAAGCATCAGGGAAAGACCATCGAGGTGCCAATTTCGCATACCGGCGTAGATAAATTAAGACCTGACGAAGAAGAATGGGATAAGCAAAATGCCGATACATTCGACGAATTTACCTACGAGAGTGAAGAGCTAGAAGAAAAAGAGGGATATTATACGGTAGAATCAGAAGACGAATTAGACGTATACAAAAATCTGTGAAAGACGAGGTTAGCCCAGCAATTTACATGACATTGGTAGAGGAATTACCAACCTCGGAAAGTGAAAACCCAATTCCTACCATCGATGAGCAGCTGAAAATTATCACCTAAGAAGAAGGATTAAATAAGGAAGAAAAGGAACAAGCACTTGCATTCTTTAAAGGAGAAAGACACTTGTTCACTAATAACATTCAAGGATTAGGAAA